CAAAGTAGGTTTTTTTTTTTTTAAAAAAAAAGTGAATTTATTTTAAAGTGCTTGCTTATACAATAAAACATAGTTAACTAATTTTAACAAAAAAATTACTTCATGAGTTGAATAATAAAAATAATTTTAAATAAATAGTTTGAAAAAAAGCTATAGAATGTAATAACATTTATTGTGACTTTATTATTAGTTAATAGTAGCATTTAAATAATAAATAAATTAAAAAATATAATTGTTTGACTAAGGCAAAAATAAAGAAAAAAGGAGGAAAACAAATAGTTTTACTAAATTCTTTGCTAGCAATTATGTATATAAATATAGAGTATGAATATATAATTACGGTTTTGCTATGGAGCCATCGGATGTCTCGGCTTATAGAGCCATCCATAGTTATTCACAAATGGTGTATTGACACGTGTCATGTAATAAATATATATTGGACATGTGTCAACACATAAAGTTATGGATGACTCCATAAGGGAGCCATCGGATGGCTCCATAACATTTTTGTATATAATTAAATAATACTAGTAAATATCCTGTGCACATGCACAGATGTACATAAAATATTATAAGTAATATTTGAAAATTTAATATTAAAATTTTAGATAATGATCATATTATATTTTTAAAATTTAATCATTAAGAAAAATAAATTATAGATTGTCTATTAAAACAATTTACTAATTGTTTTTAAAGAAATTTTTTTATGAGATACAAAAGAAAAAAATAATATTGATGTTAAAATAAATAACTTGAAACAATTGTCTATAATTATGCAATTTATATTTATTGTGAATTATTATTAGTTGGTATTAGCATTAATTATTATATAACATAATAGAAAAATACATGATTACACTCGATAGGATGTATTAATGTGAGAAATAAAAAATATTAATGATAAATTTTGTAACCGAAAATGGAGAAAAAATTATAGAAGTTTTATTAAATAGGTTTTCTTAAATGCTATTCGCTAGTAATTATATATATATAAATTACCAGTAATTATTATACGATGAAATAGTTTAAAAACATTATTACAAATAATTGTGTAAAATATAACGGTTAATTTCNAAAAAAAGCAACATATATAACATTAATTGAATGGACCACCATTATACATAGCGATTGTTATATAATTTTCCCTAAATGTCCGTGGCAGGTCTACACTTTGTCTATTGCTATCCGTAAACCCGTAAGTTTTACTATACCGCGAGTTTAAAATTGAATAAAATATTCAATCAAACAAAAGGATAGCAATAACCAAAGTGTAGATAATAAATAATATATACTAGTATAATACCTGTGTATTACACTGGTGTTGAATTAGAAAACTTTTGTAAAAAATATTGAATTTTTTATTTTTTTAAAAACTAAAATAATTTAATTTTATATAAAACATTACTTTTGGTTTTAATTAAATTGTCAAATTATATTTTTGTAATCATAATAATTAAACACCCGTGCATTAAATGAAAATGTCAACTCGTGTTGAATTTTTTTACTTATATCATATAAAAATATCGATATTATTTACTATTACATAAGTATAAAAATATATATCTTAAATAAATAGAAATAATATGGTGATATGTATATGCATAAGTGTAGAATATGTTTATTTAATATTAAACAAAATAGATTAATTTTTTTACTTAATTAGATGTCTAATACATCAAGTGTCGTATCAATCGTGCTTCTCAGTTTTCTTAACTTTATATGTAATTATAGAATTTATATAAATAATTATATATTTTTATTACATTGACAACATACCAATTAGATTTGAAATAAATATTATTTTTAAAAGAATACATACCAATTTTTATTACTTTATAATATAATTTATAGTTTTATTTAATATAATTTAATTTATTTTGATAAATAAATTTAAATTATATTTATAATGATATATATTACTATTTTGTATTTTTTTTATATATATATATATATAAATAAATAGTAAAATACAAATGGACTTCACAATATCAATTCAAATACAACACAATAATTAAGATTTTTTTTTTCTTGACAATATTAACTTAGTGTAATGGTTGTTATGAGATGGGATATGAAGGGACACTGTGTATTAGATGAGGGTTAAAAATGAAAAAAATATGAACAAAATATCTAAAACGACATTTATGTTATCAATAATCAATTAAGCCAAAGTGACAAATAATAAAAATAGGAGGGAGTATACATTATTATATATTTTAGTATGATACATGTTACTTGTGCGACTTATATGTGTTATATTATAATAAATTTTCTACCTTATAACCTATAACTACATTAAACATAAATATATTAATGGAGAAATTTTAATTTAGTTTGATAAATAAATTTAAATTTTATTTATGAGGATATATATTACTGTTTGTATTTTATATATATATATATATATATCTATATATAAATAAATAGTAAAATATATATATATCTATATATAAATAAATAGTAAAATACAAATGGACTTCATAATATCAATTCAAATGCAACACACTAATTAAAATTTTTTTTCTTGACAATATTAACCCTATTTAATGGATGTTATGTGATGGTATATGAAGAGACACTGTGTATTAAATGAAGGGTTAAAAATGAAAAAATATGAATAAAATATCTAAAACGACATTTATTTTATCAATGATCAATTAAGCCAAAGTGACAAATAATAAAAATAAGAGGGAGTATATATTATTATATATTGTAGTTATCAATTTTTAAAATATATTTACTCAACAAAAAAAAAAAATATAATTACAATTCAATAGTTATAATAGGAAATAATATTAAAATACAATTAATACAAATATTAATTTATATTCAAGCCTAAATCTAAAGCATGATTTTTTGTCAAATAGGATTCCGAAGCATGAGAGTTTGTCATGTAGGCTCAGCGTATTCTGAAATTATATATAGAGGGGATGTTTAAAATTGGCTATTCTAAACATATATGTTTAAAATTGAATAAAATATTCAATCAAACAAAAGGATAGATAATAAAAAAATGTAAAACAGAACTGTCTTTGGTCAAATTAATGTCAACCAAACTTTAGTAATGTTCTTCACACAGCCACAGCTTAGCTTGGTGTATCAGGATCTTTTCAGTTACTAATAATGTTCCTCTTTTTCCTAGATAAACATTTTGTTTTCATATTAAAAAAAGATAAAATCTTCCTGAGAACCAGTGTACTTTTCCACTCTACTGAAGTAGAAAGCTCGAGATGGCAATCAAAGCATAGGTCCGTTAGGATTCGGCCAATCCAAAAGGCATCGCAAGCTATTATGTAATGCTCTCTTAGTGAAAATCTTGGAGTAGAAGATAAATCATTAGTATATAGCATGATTTATGTTTGGAAGACTTGCAAGGCAATATACATTGCTTTGATATAGATATATTGAATTTTGATTGTTTTATTATTTATGTAGGCTTAATTTGAAAAAGTTGGTTGATTTAGATTTGATTGGGGTTTTAACTTTGTATTAAAATAGTATTTAAAATAAAATTATTAAAGTCGATTTGATTTAAAACTAAGAGACATGTGATTAGAAGTGATAAATTGTTAAAATTATATAAGTAGATGAATAGTGAATTAAAGTTGATATGATGTGTAAGAATTATTGATTGATATTATTTAATTATATTGATAATAGTATGGATGTGTTAAGGTTGAGTTATATTTTAGTTGAGATTTGATTTTTTTGGACATATATATGTAAATAAACATGCACTATATGTAATTGCTAGTGGTTTTATATAACATATATAAAAATATAAGAACTATCATTTTTGTAAAGGAAACGAAAACTTCCATATATCTTTTATGTAATGCCTCATTCGATTTATATGAGTCGCCGTATTTTTATTTTATTATTCGCACTGAGTTGCTTTTATTTTATTTTAATTGCTCGACAAATATCTCAATTAATCTTATTATGACTATTTAGATGTCCTCGTCTAATTAATATAATAAGTCGAATAATTTTTGTGGATGTTCTCGTCCACTTAAATTATTTTCTAATTTTAAATTTCTTCGTCAATCGAAAATTAGTTCGATTTCCTAGTTCCGTTTTGGCGAGCTTTCTTTTAGTCATTTATCCAAGCTTGGTTCACGGCCCATCTTGCCCCATTTTGGCCCTCATTACTTGATAATTTTTGGCCCAAAGTACATGGAAATTCAGCCCAAATTATTTGTCAAGACCGGCCCCTTAGCCTTGTTCGAATTCAAAATTCATATGAGTGAGCGACAAAACATTTAATTTTATTATAATACATTAAATTTTATTCTCCCTCCAAAATTTTCAGCATTCAATTTTATTTTTAGGTTACAAATAACTTACTTGAATGCCATAAATTATGAACATAAACCAATGAAGGGAGTTACAAAACTGTACTCAAATTAAGTCACCACTCATAAAAATAGCCGGGTGTATTAGCATAAAGAAAATAGTTGTAACCACTCTTCCATAGAAATTACTTTATCAAAATCAATTTTGATAAAGTATTTTTTTAATTCATATTTTTTTTGTCATGAATTAAATTATGATTTTTTTTATATTATTATCTTTTTAAAGTATTATTCTATGTGCAAATGCACAAGTTGATTACTATTTTTTGATAAGTTTCCAATCAACCTTAACCCTCTCCATTTGACCGGCTTTGACGAATATACCCTTGAAAAACAAAACTATGGAATCAAATTTTATCAAATCACAGCTTCTTTTCTCATTTGGGGTTCAAAACAAATAAAAAAACCCCAGTTTTATTGTTTAATTTCTCTGCGATTTTATTGTTCTGATGGTGGCTACTAAATTCTAGTGCAAGATTTCTGTCGGCAATTTCTGGGTACTGCAGTTTCTGTACATATAATTCCACATAACGATGTCCGGCGCCGGCGATGAGGAGAACGACGCCGTACTGAGCGATGTCGAGGCGGATGATCTTGCTCCGATTAACATCAAAACGGCACCGGAAAATATATCGGTCGAAAAGTTTAAGGAATTACTGGCGGAGCTCGATCGCGAGAGAAGAGCTCGCGAGGCGGCCGAGAACGCCAAGAGCGACATCCAAGTCTCGTTCAACCGGCTCAAAGTCCTGTGCCATGAGGCGATCAAGAAGCGGGACGAGTGCTCTAGGCAGCGTGATGAAGCCCTGCGTGAAAAAGAGGAAGCTTTGAAGAAGCTGGAAAAGGCCAGTGCGGATCTCAGTGAAGAAATTAAGTTAAAAGAGGATACAACAAAGCAGAAGGACGAGATCGTGAGGCAGCTGGAGGAGGTGGGAAAAGCTCGAGAGTCCAATAGGGTTGAACTGGAGACAGGGTCCTCCATGTTGGTGAGCGGTATTGAGAAAATATCGAGGAAAGTGAGTAGTTACAAGGATTTTGGAGGGAATGGGCTCCCAAAATCCAATAAGTACTCCGGTTTGCCTGCTGTAGCTTATGGTGTGGTTAAGCGGACAAACGAGATTGTGGAGGAGCTTTTATGTCAGATTGAGTCGAGTAACAAGTTGAGAAATGAGGCCCGTGAGCAGTTAGATCAGAGGAATTACGAGATTGCTATTGAGGTCTCACAGCTTGAGGCCACTATCAGTGGGTTGAGAGAAGAAGTAGCCGAGAGAAGCAAAGAGATTGCGAGCCTGAGACAGTTGGTGGACATGAAGGATGCCAGAGTAGCCGATTTAGAGAGAGAATCTAGTGAGAGACTGGAAAGTATGAAGGGTGAGATCTCGGGGTTGAGTGTGTTGGTAAGCGAGAATGAGTCGAAAATCGAGGCGCAAAGGCCCATGTTGATCAATCAATTGAATTATGTGTCCAAAGTGCATAATGAGTTGTGTGAAGTTATGAAGATTGTTGATGCGGACAAGTCATCTGAACTGTCCGAGTACTTGTTCGTTGCTCAAGAGACGAACATGGAGGAAAATATCAAGGCATGTTTGGCGGGTATGGAGTCTGTGTATGAGTTGAGCAAAACTGTTGTCGAGAAAACGAGAAGTGTTGTCGAGGAGAGAGGCCGTGAAGTGAAAAGCCTGAATGAAACTGTTTCCCGGCTAGTGAAAGAGAAAGAAAAATTTGGGTCTTTGTTACGAAGCACCTTGTCTCGGAGGATGTCGGTGGACTTGTCGTCTAAGACAAACCAATTGTTTAAGGTAGCAGAGAATGGTTTGAAAGAGACTGGGATAGGTTTTCAGGCTTCAAAGGGGCAGGTTGATCCTGATGAGACAGAACAAAGTGAAGTATATGCTTTGGTACGTACATATTTGAACATAAATTCTGTTCTAAATGCTGACTTCCATTCTGCAGTTGGTAATTACTATTCGTGATGATTAGGCTAGTGCACTGGAGAACCTAATTAAGCAGTCTCAGCTTGAGATCATTGAGCTACAACATTCAGTGGAGGAAATAAGGTATCTTGTCCGCATTTTGTTGTCTTTCACCATTTGTTAATTGATATAGAAACGTAGTGACATCAATTGTGTGAATGATCTAAAAGGTCAAATTGTTTGATAAATGCTTTCTAATTGTAAAATGTGGTCCAAGGGAGCATAATCAAGGTCAAGCACTGCCTGTGCCTGAAAAAACTGCCTCGGATTGAAGCGTTTGACAATGATTGGGCCTTTGCATCTCTAATTGGCCTACTTTTTGTGTGATGGGTTTCTAGAGAGGTGTTTCATATCCGTTGATCTTGTTTGGATTACCATATGTTCGGATTTCAAATATTTGAGTTTCATCTTAGAGCTACTTTTGAGTCCTTGTAATAGGTCTGCAATCCATATAAACCATTTAAATCACTCTCCTGGTCATTTCCCTGAATGCCATCTAGTGCCATCCTCAATCTAAAAGTAGGTGTTTGTGGAGGCCAAAAAAAAAAAGTAAAAATCTACAGCAAATATCAGATGATGGTCAAACTGGCTAGAAGCTGTGGCTAAATGCCTAAGTTCTCATTCTTACTCCAACTTCAGAAGGAGAAAATCCTGCTGGACCAAATCCTCTTTGGTGATCAACCTTCACAACCTTCAATAATATCAAATTGGTTGTTCTTTTCTCAATAAGGTCTTGTATTTAAGATTTTGGTCTGTTGTTTTATAACTTGAACTTTTGTGTGTTCCCTTTTCTTTTTGGTTTGTGTGTCGTATGTGGCATGACATGTATGATCCCTCGAACTTTGCTTTAAAATAAACCAAAAGGTAAGTGATGTACGCATATGTGAATACTGCTCTCATCATCCCAGGTATCAACATTTGACCAGGCATTCGTTAACAATGTTCATCTTAGATACCTCATAACTGATTACTTTACTCATTGTTTATGGCTGGCATTGATGGCAGAATTTTTTCTTTCCCTTTTAATTCATGATCCTTCCTTAGTTTGGCACATTTGTTATGGTACGCGCGGATCATAACATAAAAAATTTAGAAAACCTTTTACATTGATAATAATATTTCACAAATTTAGAAAGAATGTATTTAAATATTATTAACTCATATATATTAAATTATTAAGTACCATAAAATAATTCGAAAAGAATGCAGACAGATATACTCAAGAAATCAATTTTTTTTTTTTGTTTTGTTTGTTTTTTTTAATTTCGATGGCATATGTGTCCTATATAACCTAGATAAAGTTAATATTAACAATGTGTAAATAACTAAATATTAAAGAAGAACAATTGATGTCCACAATTATTTTTAATTTCAAGTACATTATTGAAGAATAAGGAATCTTCGTCCAAACATTCTTTTCTGTCCATTTAAAATTAAAAAATAAATTATTTGGCATCACATCAGCACTACCTAATACCTCGTTAATAGCAACATGTGCATAGCAGGGTCAAAATACTAATTCAAAGAACTTGCTGTAAAGACTACAACTGAAAAATGCTAGTTCTAAAATCTTACTGGAAAGGACTACAACAGATAATAATTGCTTAGCACTGGTATTCGGAATTTCGGAGGCTCATATCATGCATAGCACTATGTATGTACTTAGAATTTCGCAGCATTATTGAAACCTTCCTGACTATTATTAGTGTGGTATACACTTAATGTTGCTAAATTAAGGGCAGAGTTGAATTTATATAAGGAGCATGCGGATGCCCAAGCTAAGGAACTCAGTCAGTGCAAACTCCAATTGGAGGAGCTCGAGGAGAAGGAAAGAGTGGCCAATGAAAATGTAGGTTCGAGAGTTTATGCCATCAATCATTTAAAACTCAATCTCGTCGAATCTTTTTTGTTTAAACGATGGTCTAGAAGTATGTTCATCATCCTAATTCTAGCACATTATCATATAAAAAAGGTTGAAGGGCTTATGATGGATGTTACTTCTGCCGAAGAAGAAATCATGAGGTGGAAAGTAGCAGCTCAGCAAGAAGCTGATGCGGGTAAAGCAGTCGAACAAGAGTTTGTTGCTCAGGTATAGTGAAAAATGGGGTGACTGAGCTATCTTTCAAATTATCATTGTTCGTCGTTGTGGATTTGATTGATTTTTTGTTTTCAAATACTTTGGTGCTCTTTAGTTCATCTTGCAACCGAACATCAAAAGGTGGTTCTCTGAGGTAGTCATAATTTTTTCTTGAGTTTTTGAAACAAGATTGGTGCTTCATTTTTCTGATTTTCTCATTGAGCTTCTTGTGCAAACTCTTTATTCCTAAATCGCATGGCGCTGTACCTTTGCCAATATCATTTTTAAGTTGACTGTGGTTGTGGATTTTGCTAATATCATTTTAAGTTGCTTGTGGCTGTGGATGGAAGAGCTCTACTTTGTAATTTACTATTGCCAATGTGTCAGTATGATACTGTGTAGATAGTTATCATGATTTCAATTTAATACTGCTGGTTCACTCTTTTTTTATTTACTTTTATATATCTCCAATATGATTACCTTACCATTTCTCACTACATCAAGATGAGTAAATCTTGGACAGATTCCGAGTTTGTTTTTGGTTGTCAAACTTGATCTTCTGGCATTATGATTCATTCACAGATACATGAGTTCTAGCTTTGTGGTTTAGTGAAGTAGGAACTGGATAACGTTCCTTAGTTTCTGCTGAGCCCACCATATGATCCGTCTGTTTGTTGAGGAAGAAGTTTCAAAATAGCTTTCCTATTAAAAAATTTCAAGTGCATTTGTTCTGTTTGAACAATTGTTGCCTTTCCCCGGTAATCGGTAAAATGTTTCCATATTTTTTATCGTGGAAATTAGATTCCGATTTTGTCATAGGCCATGTTTATAGACGCATAGTCACTTGTAATACAACAAGATAAAAGGCTGAACTTGTTGAGGGATGGAGAAATTCATTTTTGTTATATTTATAGTTTTATACCCTACCTCCGGTGAAGATGTGATCCTTTTTCTCATGTGAATAAATTTTAGTGTTAGTCAAAAAAATGTGTCAATCCACCCTTGGGAAGTATTTTATCAAACAGAGGAAAACATTCAGTTCTCTTAGTTCATTTTTTGGGTTCTAATCTCAGAATTTCTGTT